CCTCTTCTTTCTTCCTTTCCCCCTCTGCACCCTCTGCTTCCCCTTCACCTGGGACTTGCATCAGCATTTTGCATAATTTCTGGGAAAAACATTTTTGTGTTTGCACAGAGAGGGTGCCATGCTACTGCATGTGAGACAGTTCTTATTAATGTACATTCTGGCTGCGAGGACATTAATATTCATTTTGTACTCAGGAGTAATTGAAAACACTCATTTGACTATTTGCAGTTCAGGAGTGGCTAGGACAGTATGAAGTACACTGCCAGCGTGCTGTGGGTGAGAGAAGAAAATGACAGCCACTTTGGGGAATCAATTGCCTCTTCTTGCTTTTATGGTTCTGATCAGCCTTCACGGAGCTGCTCACCATCTCTCCTTCCAGGCGGTTCAGTACGAGCTGAGGATGCCTATCAGCTCTCAGATGTTGCTTTATATTTTACATGCTCCGAAGGAGTAACCCAAAAGGTCTCAGAATAATTTTTTTTTAATTCGACAGTTCATTCATGCTGTTGTCACTGATTACTGTGCTGAAAAAGGCTTTTTTTATTATCTTCAGTGTGTTCTGTGCCATTAATAGCACAATTCATAGTAGATGGTATAACCAGATCAATACATTTATACTGTGAAGTTCCCATGAAATGTGACATAAAAGTAGCCATAAAAGCCAAACCAACATGGTTTATAATGTCATATGATGACTAGGATATATATGTAACAGGTTTACAAATATTATTAAACAGCCTAGGCATAAAATCTGTTTGACATGTGCCTTAACTTTAATGATTATCTACTTGTCAAAAAGCAGATTAGCCACTGGTGAGTAGAACCTTTCAAAGCTGGTATTTTTCTTTTGTATTGCTCAGTCTTCCTACTTTGCATTTTTATACTGTTAACAGATGTTTTTTTCTTCTTTGTTCCTACAGAGAGCACATGGCACCTCTCTTCTAAAAACGTACACCTACATTGGCTGCAAGATTTTAGCTTCTCCTTTAAAAACTAAAAAGGTTACTCAATAGGAATAAAAATTCCCATAACATAACATAAAATTAAAGGTAAAGCCAATGGTACTACAGCTAAGAGTTGTTGTAAATAATACTCAACTGTAAACTCTGGAATTTCAGAACTCATTGTTATTTTTTTTCACTCCTAGAAGGCATGGAACTATGTTACATGCTTCAATTATATGTAAAATGAACTGATAAATCACATCCATATTAAGGTATATGCATTGCTAAAATACTTTAAAGTATTGATCCATTGTGTACAGCTGAGAAGAGAAAGAATATGCATCCTATTGCAGGAAACTATTGTACTTCCATAGCCACCAAAGGACCACTGACAGCAGGATACATTCTTTTATCAGATAACTAAACCTTAGATTTTCTACCACAAATGTTTGGAATACATTATGATTTGTTGTAAGTCACAGTCTGGTTAAAATGATCCATTCAAGTTTCTCCATAATGCTATTTGTTATTTACATTTTGAGATATTTCTTTACAAGTTTTATTCTAATTCAGGTAGGCTATAGCATTAACAAGGTAATAAAAAACATTAAAACCCTTTTGTGTTTCCAGACCTAACTTAGAGTCACACTGGCAATTTCTGGATCAGGCTGTCTGCTGCTGAAAAGATACATTGTCCCTCTTTATTTAATGAAACAGTCTGATTAATATCAGTGTTTGAGACAAAAGCAGAGGAGGACTGTCCTGTTTCCCCCAAGGGAAAATTAGGAAAGGCATCACCGAAAAATTCTGATCAGAAACGGGTATCTTCAAAAATACCTTTTTCTGGCTTAGAAAACACTTTCAGCAGCAAGAACTAGGTAAGAAGAGTGAGAATGAGAAAAAATCCTTTACTCAGAATCTCAATTCAGACATCCAATATTACATTCTAGACATCGGGTCTTGACTCATGGTATCTTGACCTTACAGGACACCTCTATGCTAGATACTGTCTCGAGTAAGATAGTTCTTATCATTTATCCCACACAAACAGATTCTTGAAAACACTGTGCCATTTAGTCATACTTTAGGCTGACTCAGGTTAAAATGCTTTCCCAGCCCAGAAAACATTTAAATACTTCTCCTCTGTGAAATATTGAGGAAAAACAAATACATAACTGGTACTTCTTCTACTTTCATTATTTTGCTAGGATCTGAAAATAGAGGAAAGTTTTATTCTATTTAGCATTTATTGTAAACTGTGGCATTTACTTAAGTAAGATATTTTATTATAAAATACTTCATAAAAAATACACTACTGTTGAGCTTCTTAGGTTAAACAATTCAGAGAGCACTGTTTGTAGTTATATGCAGAAACTGGAAACTTCTGATTCCACAACAAAAATGTACTTGACTCTTATTTTTCTTTTCTTATGAGGCTTGAATTTTAATGAGGCCTTAAGGTCCTCACCCACAACAGTACACTGCATTTCCTGTTACCGCTTTTGTTCTCATGCAGCATTTGGTTAAATACTTCAGCTGAATATGAAAATTAGAGCAATGCATAAGTCTGATTCCGTTTTTTAACAAAACTTATAAAGAAATACTTTTATCTTTGTTATGAAACATTTATCTTGAATATCTCTTTATATATTTATTATATAAATGCTTAATATATTAAAGGAAGTTTAGTTGAAAAGTGCATCTCAAAGACCATCAGCAGTAGTTGAAGTGAATTGAACGTGTAAATTAAAAATGTGTTGTTGCTAAGTGGAAAAATTTAAAAGTTGAGGCATGGTTAGATCCTACATCAACAACTTGTGTTTTATTTTGCATGGTGATACTTGTGAGTACCTCCATCACAGTGAATGGAGCTACACTGGGTATAAACCACAACCCTGAAAACTGATTTCCCAAACTTTCCTTTGCCTCTTCACCAGAGGTCTCTGTCCTGCAGCACATTGCGTGTGCCTGTGCCCAGCACAGGATGCTGTGGGACTGGGACCGGAGCATTCGCCACCTCCCTCTATGCCTCTGGAAACCCTTTGTCTAGAAAAGCTCTTCCATTGTTGCACTCTGTTTGTAAATTAAAAAATATAATGAAGTCTTCTGCAAGAATGGTGCCATATCCTCTAAACTGCCTGACAAACAGGCAGTGCGCAGGCATCAAGCTCAGAGCAAACATGCCTTGCCTTCACAGCCCCTTCAGGGGAAAAGCTGGGTAAAGTCTCTTCTCCTTCTCTGTGTTGGTAATTATAGTTTAAATGGTCATCTGTACTGCGCCTTGTAAAAATTGTAGAAGTATCATTCTAATATTAATTTGCATTAGAATATTGATTGAAAAACTGTAATTATAGTAATAGACTTCCTACACAATAAAAAGCTATCTTAAATCAGAGGAGCTGTAGAAGAGATGTATTTTATAAAAATATATTAATAAAATTTTGTAGTACACATATATTTGTATACACATACATATATATAATGTATATACATAATGTATGTGTATATATTTAATTATCTTTTATATGTACTTCTGAGATGTATTAAAAATATTGAATACTTAATTCTCAAAATGTATTTTATTAATTAGATTTTCAAATATTCTCTTTAGAATGCAAACTGCATTGCTGGTCTCAAATGAATAATTAAATTTATATTTTAATTGGTGCTATTAATGAATATTTACAAAAAGAAACACTAATTTGGAGAAATATATTAATAATTTACTAGGAAAAAAAAAAAAACCTCTCTCTGCTGACTGACCCCTTAAAAATATCTTTGCCTTTTATTACTTGTTCACTCTAAACAGAAATTTAAATATGTGTATTTTAATGATTTATAAAAACAATGTGTTTGCAAGTAGTACTTATTAGCAGCATTTAAATCTTATATAATGTTTTTCATCTTTTGAGGCAGGAAGGTAAGTTTTATTATCTTCATTACTTTAAAAATTGGGGAGAATTCTGAATTTCGCATTTGCAATGTAAACTTCCAGCAGAAAGGTATTTTTCAATATTTATATTCCTAGTGCTTCAGACACTTTCTGCCTCATCAAAAACTTCATGTGGATGTAGTTGAAGCAGTTTTGCTGTTAACCCATGGTTCCCAGCACATGCTTCCTAAATTAGAGTCCCAGCAAAAACTGAATATTTAGCACCAAGCTGTGAGCAGCTTTGTGTGCCTGGGAGGACCAGAGGGAACTGTGCTGAAGACATAGCAGTCCCCTTCTAAGGGCAGAGGACCCTCCACATTTCATCACAGAAATGAAAATGGAGTCTGAGGTAGGAGGCTAGGAGGTATGCACAGGACCAAAGAGGGAAAATGACAGCAGTGATAGGATGAAAAATGAAGCACTCTTTTCTCCCACACTCTGGACCTTTATGTAACTGATTTTTACGTAGATTTCCCTATTAAAACCAGTGGGGATTTCTTAAATACTGAGGGCAAGATATAACCCACAGTCTTTATAACTGAGAGATACCAGAAAGGAAACAGTTCACAAGCTCTTGTTCTGCTGGATTCAGCATAAAAACTAAGCAGTTTGTTGGGTAATTTATTATTATTATTTTGCATTGCCACCATTCCCAAAGATGACTCGTTTTCTCTGTTGAAGGCTTCATCAGCCTGAAAGACGAGTGCAGAAATAGAAGTCCTCTGGAGGAGCAGCAGGCTCTGCCGTAGAACAGCAATGTCTAGCACTGTCACAATCATTTTCTGGTGTGGTTTACACTGATTCAAAATACAGGAATAAAATGTCTGCGTTTGAATAATTGTTTTTTTCCCGTGTCATACAGCTGATTTATAGTATGTGTCACTACATTGAATAATGATTCATACAATAAAATTATGTTTGAAAATTGGCAGACACGAATTTAAGTATTTATCTATTAAAAGCTGAGTGTAGCAAAGTTAAGTTGATGTTAACTGCCATGATCACTTGCCTGACTCGTACCAGCAACTTCCAGGTATGTTTAGGAACATATTGCATGAGACAGTATGTGACTTTTTGAGAAATGTCTACACACAAGCTTTCATAAACCTTTATTCTGTCTTTAGAATTTGGAATGATGGGAGATCATACAATTAAAAGTCAGCGACCTCGATCTGTTCATGAGAAAAGGGTCCCTCAGGAACAAGCTGATGCTGCTAAATTTATGGCACAAACTGGTAATACATCAGTTACATTTTTCTATTTACTGTTGTTAATTTTAGCAAAACCACTGCATGTTTCCATAATCTTTTGCTGCATATTTGTCAGTTTTCTAAGCTGATACTTTTTTTGAATCATTTTTTTTTTTTTTTCACCAGTTAAAGTCCATAAATAAAGTAGCTGAGAACTAGGTAGATCATACAAAAACATGCACTGTGAATGTGGATACTGAATCATCTAGTGTAAGCATGAATTTCTTTAGTAGTAAAAACAGTCTCACATGTACAAGACACAGGACACCTGGCTGTGACATACTAACTTTTTTCCGAAGATGTTAAGAACATGCTTCAGAATTTCTTTATAAATAGACGGAGGTCTAATCACAGCTTTAGGTATTTATCAAATTAATTAATTACTTGGGTGACTTTAATGTGCATACGTTCAGCATTTACTATCTTTGGCCCAGCACAACACTCTAGTTTCCAGATTCATAATTGCTAAATTAAATTGACCATAAGTATTTTTTAATTGGATGTGCAAATTATCTAACAGTTTTTCATCTAAAACATATTTTCTAATTTTGTTCAAGCAACTTCATATTCTTTAGATAAAGATACCATAATGATATTACAAACTTAGAGCTGAAGTAATTAAAAAAAAAAAAAAAAAAGTCTGTTTACCAACAGTTACCACAGCTGCTTTTGAGGTCAATGATAAAATTTCAGTGGTGAGTTGAATTAAGCTCTCACACAGCAAAACTACTACTCATTTTTACATCACTAATGATCTGTGTATCTGTTGGTAAAATTTCACTCTTGAATGGTTCCCTACACATTCCATTCCAGTAAGTTACCTTGTTGAAAATCTTGTGCTCCATAATTATTGTATGGATTTGAAACAACTTACTCTGTATTCCATAGTTACTAACCTAGAAAATATGCCTGCATCAGTCATACATAATGCTTCCAGTTTATATTCACTTTAGTAAAAGAGCTATAATTGCTTCTAGTTATATTGCATGTTGACTTCCTTAGTAGTAGGGTGCTTTACTTAACAGTTTTGCAGAAATCAGTATATTAAGTAATCTAAATACATGTATGAGCCAATCAGTGTAGATCTGTTTGGTAAAGAATTTAGAAGGGGGAAAAGTCTGTTTCCCTCCTATTAATCCATAGTACTACTTTTATGGCTAACCCCCAATTGATACTACTGTAAGCAAATGTAGTGGAAGAAGGGAGCCTAGAACCCTCTTGGTCTCCATGAAGTTTTTGTTTAGGCAAGTAGAACTTATTACTTACATACCTAGCTCAGACTTAGAATGTTAGTTGCTTACTACATAGAATAACACCTTTGCTTTTATGCTGCTTCTTGAATTCATACAATTACTCCAAAAAAAAAAAAAAAAAAGATAATCTATTCTATTTCCTCATATAAATCCCTAAAACCTTCATATTAACAGGTAAAACTTGTATTTGATAATTTCTAGTCATGCATTGCAGTGCATCTATTATGGGTGTTAGAGAACTGCATTATAAATGCAGCACTTATACCATCACCTTCTGATAGATTGTGTGTGTGGAGTGGGAGATAAATGTTCAAAATTATACAGGCTTGGTTTTCAAGGTCCTGTTCTGAAAGCATGTGAGATATATCAACAGCGCATATAAATTTACATGCCCAGCTTTGAGGAAATCTATATTTTACATACTGTAGGTTAACACATTTTGAGTAATACTGTGATCTTTTTGGACATACTTACTAATTTTCATCTCTTCTTCATTTGGATTTTCCTTTGTAGTGATCATTGTATATTTTCTTCACCTCTATTACATTCATTTTCTTGTGATATAGTTAATGTGATATCTTCTTAAACTGATTCATAAGGTTTTTTTCTAACATATCTATCTCATGAATTTACCCATGTACTAAGAAGTCTAATAGTCTTTAAAGTAAATGGATACTGAGTTTATGAGGTTTCTTATATTTTCAGCCTGTTTAATATTTTATTTTGTGTAATAATAAAACAGATGTAGAAGTGCAACAAAATGTTTGTATCATTTTAAAAGGCAGAAAGATAGGAATAGAGAATTATCCTAGAAAAGATTTATGAAAAGCATTTAATAGTGTTAGAATTGTGGACTTAATCCACCAAATTTTGCTAGGAATGGAAGAGTTTTAACATGTTGTATTGAAATAGGCATTTTCCTGTTTGTTTGTGAGTGATATGAGGCAGTAAAACATGTTATTAAAAAAAAAATAATATTGTGTGAATAATTGATTGTCCTATATTTGTAATTTTATGTGTTTGGACTGATCCTTCCCTTAGGTGTTATGGGATTTAGAGAGTATAATACAGGTAAGTGTTACACAGATCATTGAGGCCTTCCATACAGTAAGTTATGTTTCCTCTTACATGTCAACCAGCAGGGGAGAATAAGGACTTGGTAACTTGCCAATAGTTAATTTGAGATTGTAGGTTTAATATGATAGATATAAAAATTGAAGTGTTCTCACGTAACAGAAACTAGAAGGAAAATAAAAAGTAGCCCTTTTAAAACTTTCACTTAAGAAAAGAAAAAAATGGAAAAGAGATAAAGAGAACAATGGAAAATGTATTTGCATATTATGTAGTCAATCTAGGTTTATTCTAGAAAATAAAGAATTTTTTATTTGATTCAATTAAAAATGGTTAACTATGGCATGATATGTCAGTGAAGATTTTCCACTCCTTTAAAATACTTTAAAATAAGTCATAATCATACTGACAGTAGAACAAAATACTCTGAAAAATTAAAAATTACCAAAAAATTATAATGTATTGTGCAAAAGGAAGGAAAGCAGTTGGTGAGATAAATTTGCTTTTTATTTTCTCTGATTTCACTCTTTTTGCACCATACATCATGTTAGTGTGGAGGATCTTGCTCCAGCAAATGTTTAAGCCTTCTATCCTTTACATATGTTGAAGTATATTGCTAGATTCTGCCTTTCATGAATGGACAGATCATATATGCTCAGAACTTCTAATAATTGATATTCATTTAAAAATTCACTCAGTGCAATCACATTCCTAGTACCATGTTACTGCTATTTGCCATCATATTCCGAGGGTTAAGAGCAACTTTTTATTACTTTAAGATCCCCACAATTTAAAAATTTTAATACTTCATTTCTGTATTTTATTAGCTATGCACCGTCACCGTGTCTGTGTTGGGCAATGGATAATTTACACTGAGTATATATGACTGGTTTACATAATGAAGAACACCTTGAGAAACATCTTTCTGCTGTCTGACCTTTCATCTAAATGATTTTAACAAAGGAAAAGTCGAACTTCAAACATGTAGGAAAAGACAAAAAATATTAGCCTAGAAACTCACAGTAATACAAGTATTTTTACCATATAGATAGGGCTTATAGTACATATTGTATAATTGCTAATGTCTACCTAAATATTAGCTATGTTTACCATATTTTATCATCTAACCTGATCCCAAGCCATGTAACAACCTAATCAGAATGGTAAATTCATGTCAGAAAAATTATTAAAACAATAATCAATGATTAAATTTCTCATTTTTTCACCTAACAGATAAAGAAAATGACTACAGAAATCACCCCAGTTAATTTTTGTATATAAAAAATCTCATAATTTTGTCCTTGTCCATACAGACTGTTAGAATTGTATATCATTCTATGAAAAGTGGAGGGATTTGTGTGCTAATTATAAAGCATTCTGTCTCCTTACTTAATAAATTATTGAATAGCCTTAAAATTGTTTCTTATGGGACTAGCAGAGACGAGTATTTTGCAAAGGTTTCATGTTTTGCCTCTGGAAACAAAAAAAAAACCTAGAGCTTGGACAGATGCTTGCTATAAAAGCACAGTTTCAAGAAATAGTTTATAATTTACTGAATTCTTGGAAGATAGGAGCAGAGTCTTCCTGGCTTGCAGACATTCCCTTGATTGTGACCAATATAAAAACTTTTGGAAGACTAGAGGTATATTGAGATAACTGAAATTTTAGGCAAGCTATTCAAGACTGAAGGTTGTATCATGCCACTGGTTTTAAAGCAGAAAATCCCATTTGTTTCAAAAAGGACTTAGGTTTAAAAATCAAGGTTGTAATAGAGGCTTCAGCATGCCATTTTATACTGCTATTTAATGGAAGAAGGTAAACATGAATCCACAATTATTTACTCAATTATTCAGTGAGGTATATTCACATTATTTTTGCATTTTCTTTCTGAGAATACTCAGGGGATCCAGTTTTCTGAACATGAATGTCTTTGGGAAAGGAATTACAGAATTGGGTCTGTGGCTGTTCATGGAAACTAATCTAAGCATTCTTTCCTGAACGCCCATGCAATAAGACTTTATGCATTACCTGCTTTCAAAAAAAAAAATAGAAATAATGTAATGTGTGATCTCTCAATGATAAAACCCAACAACAACAACAAACAAACAAACAAACAAAAAACAACAAAAAAAAAACCCAAACTATTGAAATGTATGGTATTAGTAAATCACATCTGACAATTTTGAACACAGTGGTATGTACTATACGCAGTAATGAGGTCTAGCACATCCAAGAGTGTAGCACACCTGTAGGTCAAAAGCAAGGAGCAAATCTGTGCAGTAAATGATCAAACCAAAGTTCTCATCCTACCATTCAGGTTAAAATTTCGTAGGGCAAAGTGCTTCTCTTTGCCAGGGAACTTCTCTCAAATATTAAATGACTCTCCTCCACTGAAGAAAAGATAAGAAATTAGGTGGTTGGTTTGGGTTTTTAAAAAGTCAGAATTCCCTTCTGGTAAAGTTCCTTAAAATATTACCTAACCTTCATTCTAGAGTGATAAGTATAAATATCAAAGATAAATCTTTTGCTACCATACAAAAAGAGTCGTCTGTGTTCTTCTAGCATCCTGAGGGCAGTGTTGTTTCTCAAGTGTTGAAGGGCAGTAGTTCTCATAAAATTGTAAATGATGCCAAGCCATCAAAGTGTTTCCCTTTGACATGCATTATGTGACTGCAGCATTGCAGGTGTATTTATTTTCTATTCATTGCATATTTTCACAGCTGCTTTACTCCATGAACTTTTAAATATTTATTTTGGTGTGGCACTTTTTTCTTTGATTTATAAGAGCATATGATAATGAGCTTTAGCAAAAAAAAAAAATGTGTCATTGATACTTACATCTATATTCATGTTTGTTTGTTGTCTTGAATACAGGTGAATCTGGTGTTGAAGAGTGGGCCCAGTGGAGTACGTGTTCAGTTACTTGTGGTCAAGGGTCGCAGGTGCGAACCAGAACTTGTGTATCACCTTACGGGACACACTGCAGCGGCCCTTTAAGAGAATCAAGGGTTTGCAATAACACTGCCCTCTGTCCAGGTAGTGTTAGCAGCCAATAAATAAAATTGTGGATGTTTTTGAACTGTATAATGATAAGAATTTAAAACTATTTTTTTTAATAGTATTATTATTTTTGACATTAATTTCATAAGGGCATTTCAATTAGAGCAGAGAAGTGTAATTCTATTCAGCTATGAAATTTTGTCATGTAGATTGTTATTTTTACTTTCAGAGCAGTCAAGGTACAGAACAAGAGAGCCTTTTTTCTGTCAGTTTCAGATTTTTTAAAAAAGTCTATATTCTCTGATTTTCACTCAGAAAAGAGAGCATATAGCATGAGTACAAAATACAAACTAGGGAAGAAATCCAGATCATCAATACATTAAGAAGCAAAGACTGATTAACAGGGTTGGCTAAGTTAACATATATTATTCAATACTGCAATTGCTTCACCATTTAGAATACTGTCTTCTAGGTAATGGGCCAGACAATGTTCCCTGCACAGTAATGTCTTCATGGACTTTCCCTTACATTGTTCTGGCAAGAAAGGGCAACAGATATCTGTGAAAGGAAGAAAGATCCGACAAAAAGTAACTCTCTCACATCTGACACAATGTAAAGGTCATCAGTATCTTGCATCACAGTTTTCCTACTCCTTTTGTCTCAGAGATCTGGACATAGTCAGCATTTAGTGGTAGTTATACACTAAGGAGAAGAGACAGGCATGTTCTGAAAGGGCACTTGTTGTTTCTTTAAACTCTACCTGTGGATTGGATTAATATTTGATAGGAAGCAAAAGGAAAGGCAAATGCCCTGTGACTACATTAATTTCTATCTGCTATGTTTGAAATGCAAAAAAATCATATGTCTTCCTTCAGATGTACAAATTCCTCAGGTCTTTGCAATATTTGATCCCAGGAGGGTGGTGAGCTATCTTCAGCTTCTGGTGAAGGTCACTCCATTTTTTCAGTAAACTAAACTGTCATACACAGAGAGTCTCCTGGACTTTATCTCAATGAGTAGTACTATGTAGAATCAAACTCTTACATTATTACTCTGTGTTGAAAAATATCCAATGGGAAGTGCATATGTGATCCCATCAGGGTTTGTATATCAGCATTATAAGCATTCAGGGAACTTCTCTTCTGTAATGGAAAGCAACTTAAAAGATTGTATCTAGATAACCCATCACTGTAATAAGAACTGCTCTCAGCACCTAATGCTTTTCTACTGTTCTTTAGGCAAGAAATTCACGTGGAATCTTCTAATATTTCTAATATAGAAACCCCTATGCAGGGCTGAATTTGATCACTTTAAGTGTTTCCATACAAAAACGGAAGCTGTTTCTAAAAAGGTTAGGCTAGCTTAGAGTCTGCCAGAGGTGGGATACACTGCAAAACAACTCTCAACTTGAAAGTATAAAAATAAGTGAAAAAAGAGAACTACAAAAGAAAAGAACAAACATTCCAAACAATCAAAGATAGATTTAAAGATTCCTTTGAAACTACATGAAGTATGAAGTCACAAGGAGCCAGCAGTCATAAGGAGTTGCAGTTCTGCTTACTTTCTTGCTCATTTAGTATTACCTAAGAAGAGGAAAGGCATTTAAATCACCTAATTTTACAGAATTTTATCTTCATTCCAGTAAGGAATGAGAACTTTTCATATCAAAACACCAACCAAAAAAATCCATGTCATGGAAGAAGCCAAGGTAATTAATTTGCTGTCTAAGCAAACTGGAAAAAAAAATTAATTTTAAAAATCACATTGTCTAGCAAACTTCTAAACTATGCTGACACAAAAGGACTGCTCCATATTTCTTAGGTCACAAAGGAGCTCTTTCCTTATATATGAAATCCCACTTCAGGGTACAGCTTTTGTTTCCAGATACCCAGTATGAGCAATGGCTACCAATTCTTATTGTCTAATGGTGATACTGCCAAGATACTTTCCTTTGAAGATCACCACAGTTGATTCTAATAATCTTTATGTATCTTGAGTTACCTTTCCTCTATAATTAGTCTTCTGGGCTTAATATTGCATGTTGTTTCACATAATTACAGTAACCTTATTAATTTATGTTGGTCTCTGTCCGGCTACAGGGTCTCTACCGTGTGGCAGAGTGCAAGATTAGCAATTTAGAAATGTGCTTTTCCTAGTCACAGCTCCATTAATTTTTGAAACATCCCTTTAATTAATAGCCTAAATATCCTCTGTCCTAAATATATTAAGTATCCTGACTCAGAGAATTGCATAGTCCAGGATTGTCTCTGTTCCATGCATAACAAAGTTAATAGTTTTTACACTAGTATAATTGAAACACACATTTGATGTAACAATCCAGACATATGCATGCACAACTAGGATCTGGCCTGAGTACCCAGACCTGTACTTCTCATTCCATACAGCTTTTGGACTCTGTTAACACAGCAAGATTTTACATAGTGGAGCATAAACTAGAAGAAATAACCATACAAAAACTTAACAGTGGTCTCTCCTTGTAACCTGCAAATAAAAACTCTGCTGGGACATATTTATTATTTGCATGCATGATTAGTAAAAAGAGGAGGGGGAGGGCATTCTGAGAGCTGGAATAATGTTTCCTAATCAAAAAGTTCCCCCTTCAAAATAATAAGTATGCAGAATGGACTACTGGACTATTCTTCAAGCATCTATCCACAAGTTTCACAGGAACCTGTTAAACTTGCAAATACTAATGCTAGTTTTCCAGAGTATTTTCATTTATTACCTTCATATACTATATTTAGTGTCCAGGATACTCACTGGGATGTTAGGGAATACATCTCTCAGTGATCTCAATGTCCTTGAAAATTTTCAGGGATTCACCAGCTTCATAATTATAAATATATTTAGATATATTAACATTGCAATAAAACCTTAAATATCAAATTAGTACTAATAATTCAAGTAAACTCATGAAGGAACCATCATTTTAATATTTTTTCATTTATTTATATTTGTTCTGGACTAATACTATTTCAGGGGGAGGAGTCCATTAGGTAATTCAGTCTGTCTTGCAATCAAGAGCCTTCTAGTAAAGTGCAGCATAGTAGGCAACAAAACATAGCTTAGGTAACCATCATTACTAGTTATTTTGTGAGGAAGGACATCTCAGGATCCAGTACTGCAGTGCCACTGATTCATTTCAGCCTAGTGGATCATTCCTAACACAGCTAAAACTTCAAGGAGAAAGAACGTGGAATTTCCATGCCTGTAGATCATCTCAGGGTTTTTTTCTTCTTCTCCATTGCCTTCAACAACTTTTACCACAAAATTTAGCTGAAGCTTGGCATTTTCAGGCTTATGGGTAAAGCAAGACATGGCAGGAGCAGGAATAACCTAAATCATTTCAAACATTTGTGTGTTCAAAACTCTCTTTTGGCTGTTGTCATATGCTAAGACTGCTTTACTTATCTCCTTTTTTTTTTTTTTTCTCAGGGCTTGTATCAATGAAGTTTAGCTATACTGCTGAAATGTTGCACATTTTGATATATTCTGTGCCTACACGGTACACTAACATAATTGTTACAGAGAAATAAGCCATATCATTTTTAATTCCTGTAGCATTATTGTTAGTAATCTATGCTCTGGAAGTTCAGGCCTTCACTTGAGAGGAAGAGTAAGACAATTTAAGCTATACTAAAGGAAACTATAACACTTAATTGAGTTTAAATTTGTGCATACAAGCTCTCTAATTTAATTTTAAAAGTCCTTTAATGTAGCAATCTGTTGAGATGGAGTTATTCGGCCATATTAAAATAAAATACCCTAGAATCATAGAATCATAGAGTGGTTTGGGTCAGAAGGGACCTTTAAAGGTCATCTAGTCCAACCCCCCTGCAATGAGCAGGGACGACTTCAACCAGATCAAGTTGCTCAGAGCCCCGTCCAAACTGGCCTTGAACACTTCTAGGAAGGGAGCATCCGCAACTTCTCTGGGCAACCTGTTCCAGTGTTTCACCACCCTCATTTTAAAAAATTTCTTCCTTATATCCTCTCCATATCTACCCTCCTTTAGTTTAAAACAATTACCCCTTGTCCTATCACAACAGGCCCTGCTAAAGTTTTTCCCTATCTTAGAATACCCCCTCAAGCACTGAAAGGCCACAATAAGGTCTCCACGGAGCCTTCTCTTTTCCAGGCTAAACAACACCAACAGTCTCAGCCTTTCTTCATAGGAGAGGTGCTCCATCCCTCTGATCATCTTTGTGACCCTCCTCTGGACCCGTTCCAACAAGTCTATGTACTTTCCTGTACTCCAGAGCTGAATGCAGTACTCCAGGTGGGGTCTCACCAGAGCAGAGTAGAGGGACAGAATCATCTTACTCAGCCTGCTGGCCACACTTCTCTTGATGCAGTCCGGGACACAGTTGGCCTTCTGGCCTGCAAGCACACATTTCAGTTTCATGTCCATCTTTTCATCCACCTATACCCTCAAGTCCTTCTCTGTGAGGCTGCTGTCAATCCCTTCATCCCCCAGCCTGTATTGATACCGGGGATTGCCCTGCCCCAGGTGCAGAACCTTGCACCTTGCCCTGTTGAAACTCATGAGGTTCACATGAGCCCACTTCTCCAGCTTGTCCATGTCCCTCAGGTGTGTCAGCCCTAACACTCAGCTTGATGTCATTTGTGAACTTGCTGAGAGTGCACTCAATCCCACTAAGTCATTGATGAAGATATTAAACAATACTGGACTAGTACCACTTACAATGAAACATCAATGGCCATAATAGGTTTCCAATATCTGTTCAGTTTAAAGCTGAACAAATCAGAAGCATTTAAATCCTAATAAAAATCTCCCAAAATATGCTTGTAGGATGAAGGCCAGCATGGCCTCACGCCTCCTCCCACTTCACAGCAGTTGGGTATTGTGAACACTGTGGGTGTTCACTTCAACATGATTAGGTTCACAGAGTAGCAGAGAGAAGGGAAAGATGCTCTGCAGTAATCCAAACTCGTTGTGCTAGCAATCTTTTTGACAGATAAGTTGGCAATAATTTGGATATTTTTGTCCTAAATAATGAATCTTGCATCTGAAACTGTGTTATAGAAAACAGTAACTCCTCTGTGGGCCAGCTCTCCATCTGGTGTAATTTGGCATAGCTCATCGGGCTATAATTCATCAGATATTATAGGGTTTTTTGCATTTAGAAAATGGTATTAAAGAAAGAAAATGTAAATGAAATATCAGAAAAAAAAAAAAAAATATTCCAAGGTAAGACATTTGAAATTAAGATGTTGTTTTGGAGCTGATATGGATAACACTGGACATTTATGTAATGCATTCAAAAGATTAGTTCTCCTTCATATTTATTGGCTGACATTGATTGTTTTCTTAGTATTATGCCTTTTCCATCCTTGACTTTATTAGTTATCTACTAGTTTCAGATATAAATATAAGAAGGTACTGTGAAATTTTTACTTAATGAGCTAAAATTTGTCACAGAAGATGATTTTGGGCACAGTTTACTTTAAACCACAAATAGATGGAGGCTGCTGTAAGTTTGAATCCACCCAAAGTGAAACATTTTGTTTTGGCTTGTGTTCAGATCCAAAATCACAAAAGAATTATTATGTCTTACTGCTAACATGCAGTCACTCTTGCCAGAGGAAATAGACAACCTTTTGGTTCAAGACAGTATCTTTGAAGAGCCGCTCAGCACATGTTTTTGTCATTTTTAAATGAAGACAAGTAACTTACAACATTTTGACAGCATCAAATCAAAACTCCAAATTAAACAATATAGTTAAACCCATACGTACCTTGAAAAACCTCAGCCTGTGTCTACTTAGTGTCAAGACCTTTCTAATTTATTATTTTTTATGGAATAATCTTTTTCTAATTTGGATTAATTTTGGTTTTCTATGTTTTGAGCTTTTTCAAGTTTTTGTTGCACCTGAGCATCTTAATTAACCATTGTGGTATCAGGAGATGAAATTATATTGCTATTACAGACTGTTGTTTGGAATCTGATCTGAGAAATTGGTTTCTCATTATTTTTTCTCATATGATAAAAAATTTGGAGTCTTAGAGATATGTCTGGATTCAGAATCTAGTACTTTGTCAATGAGAAGAAAAATCTTCAGATCATATGGCTGGATCAGAGTAGCTAAGTATAGTACATGTTGAGAAAAGACAAAATGTGTGGGATTATATGCAGATATAGGTACCCATTTACTAGTTTTAGAAGAGTTAGGTTTCCTGCTTTTGACCAAAATGTCAGAGTTAATCAAGGTTCCTAATATAGCTAGACTAAAATCTGTCACTTCAACATTAATTTGGAATGTTCCTGAGGGTTTGGTTTTGTTGTGTTTTTACTAATATAATGCAGATTGATGTGATATTTAGAATAAGATAATGCTAATAAAGCTAGCCATGTAGGACTCGGAATAATTGTTTTTGCTTTTTGACCAGATGTATGTGACTAACTAAAAACCTTTCTTCAGTTGAGCTGTTATCTAGTGGATAAATCATCCCTGAATTAAGCTTGACATTTTCTGTCAGATACAATTTCTCAGAAGGCAGCTAACAAAATTTTTACCTGAATATAGCATGTGAAATTACAATTTTCCTTACTTTTAACAAAATGCAATAGAATTTACCTAAATGCAGAATTCTCCTTGATCTTACGGATGATTTTGTGATAATACGCCAGGGAGCTGAACATCCTTCTGCACCCTTGGCAGCTGAATTTCACCTCAGGAAATGTTATTCTGATCCCTACAAGAAATAGATTTTATTTGTAGGAACTGGGCAGGTGATACGTGCCTTCGGGGTATAGGAAACCTATATATGAGAAGTTCTTTCACAGTGATGAAAAAAAGCGAGGGCAAACCAAAAAATTTATTTCTTCTGTAATGTTGTGAATCATTACCAATGATACACTGAGATGTTATACACTATTTCACCCTCCAGACACCCTTCAAACAGACAGGGTTGCAGAAACACACAGAGTTATGTGATACCGAGTATGATGCTCAATCTGGGTATTAAGTCTCTGAATTTTTCTTAAATGCCTAGTGTTACTGGAGTTCTCTCTGCCACATTCCTATTGTCACAGAGCCTAATTTAACCTGTGAAAGTGCTTTTTTTTAAGCAGAAGAAAAATAAGTAAAGGGTTTTTTTGCAGTATTTTTCAATTTATAAAGAACTGTTTTACCAATGCATGTGTGGAATTGTCTTACCAGCACATGCTTAACTATAATATATCAGAGAACTTTCCTAAAATTGAACTCCAACTGTTTCTCAAAAGGGAATGCATATGGTATATAAGCTTACATGGATATTGTAGATTAGTTTCTCCGACAGTGGAAAAAAATTAAGGTAGAGGAAGATGCATCTTCTACAATTCTTTACATTAATTTTATTAAATACTTGTATATAAAAATATTGGTATGTGTACTCTGAAGGTGTTTGCAGTTTGTTGAGTGAACTTTTTTCTTTGACATAGAGTGATGCATGTATTGCTGTGTATGTTAAATCAATGAATATGTTCATGTAAGGAAATAGCACAAATCTCTTTTGTTTATGTGGTCTTGGAATTTTTGAGGAAGATAATCAAGCACATGTGCTTCCATGTTTCCACCAGAATTTAAACAAGTGAAACAACTGTAAGATAACAGCTCCAGTTTATTATGGTGACACAGTAAGAAATTATTGCATTTATTCCTATATTTTCAAAAGAAAGATCAGTTTTGATTGCTTCAAGATTTTAGAGTTGACTAGATACATAAAGTATATGCCTGATTTTCACAAAGACTAATCTCCTGAAAATCAGGGCTATTTTAAGTCTTGCACCAAAGATATCATAACTAACTTTTGAAAAGGGAAGCCATCTTTCTTAAAAGAATGAAAGAAAATAAAATGTGGTAGTGAGATTAGTTTAAAGATTAGAGAAAATGGTTCAAATTTAAATATATTTTAGAGGAAATATAATTTAAAAATTGAAATTAACTAAATTTTATAAAGGATTTATTTACAGTGCTAAAGATTACCTATGTAATGATTTCCTTGAAGTTGGCAAAATAATTCCCATTTAAAATACTGATCTTGTTTATTTTAAAATCCTTCTGTTACTTGTGTGTCTGTTTCTGGTTAAAATCTGTTTGGTTTATTGCAGTACATGGCGTTTGGGAGGAATGGTCACCTTGGAGTTTGTGTTCATTCACATGTGGTCGAGGCCAGAGAACTAGGACAAGGTCATGTATACCTCCCCAGTATGGGGGAAGATCATGCGACGGACCTGAAACGCAACATAAACCTTGCAATATTGCACTCTGCCCTGGTGAGCTCATATAGCAACTCTCTGCTTTGTTACGGTGCATTCAGTGTGGGTTGTTTCTGATTTCTTTTATTGCCCTTTGCACACAGAACAAAAAAAAGTTATGCAAAGTGAGTAGGCAGGTTAATATTGTTCATAATTCTGACTGTAGTGGTTAAGGAATATAATCAGGATGGTCTGTTTGAGACACTACACAAGCAGACAATTCTATTTCTTCAAGATATTCTCTCTCTAGGGCATGGTATGAAATCTTGATTCGGCATGGGTCTTGAAGAACCAAAAAGCAAACAACTTTCTGAGTCTGGCTTAAAGGGAGACATTCAGAGGTCACACAGTTTGTGTCCACCATACCTGTTTGAATTATGCTTACTTAGATGTTCACTGCAATTTTTTATTCATCATACAACAAACATATTTGGGAAACCATACAGTTTTCATTGTTGTTTATTCAAAATGGATATTATTTACATATGTGTAGAGAGAAATGCTGACACAAGCTAGGGCATTATTTTAATCCCAGTTAAGTCCTTATGGTAAGGATTTTAAGTGCCTTATTTCTGGGAGTTAGTTGCCTAAACCACTTTCAAAAAACCAACCCTAATCAAGTAAACAATGTGTGGGCTTCATGTTAAGCCTCCCATCCACTGAAATTGAAACTCAGAAAAACCATCTAATCTTTCAAAATTGATTTTAAAATGTTTTTCCATAGGTTATGATTAATTTTGACCAAAATCTTCAATATGTGTGTGTGTGTATATATATGTATACATGTATACATGTACATATGTATATATATGTATATATACCTAAGTATTCTCTATATAATGCCTAAGTATTACAGTGAGTTCAATAATGATGAAGAATATTATATATATAAAATAATAAATTATGGTTGTTGAACTAATTGTAATACTTAGGTATTGAGAAGCTGTCAGGTAGCTGTAACGTGAGAAATTTTTTTCATGAGTTTTGTCTGACAGTACGAAGGTTGCCCTTGCAGTGGGCTTGTGGAATATCCACAGTTCATAACACTGCTGAAAATAGATTCTCTATGACTGGAGCTCTTCCTGAAAAGGGTTGATGGGCATTTCATTAGCAAATGGTTGTCTGATGATTTGAAAACAGAGATGAAGGAAAAAATGGAATTTAGTGTCTCACAGAATTAAAACTAAATTTCTTGGTTTTTTATGAAACCTGACCTTTGCTTTTCTTCTGGTCAGCAAAGCATACTCCAACTTTAGGACAAAATTTGTGGAAAAGTTTTAGTGTTGAATGCAGCTGCAAAAATTTTGAATTAATCCAGTTTTTGACCACGTTAGCAGCTGTGCAATTTTACATGTGCCTACACAAAAGTAATTAACATGATATATGAGCATGAAGCAGAGTTGACAACAAGTGAAATGCCAAATAAAAATAGCAAAGAAGAAATTAATGCATTCAGTTCACATCAGTATTGCAAAGAAACTCAAAAGATATTACACCTAATCTGTCAAAATAAGCAGTTCTTTGAGAATTCTGGATTTTGAGCAGCCATTTGTACCCAAATGCCTTTCACCAAAGGAAGTTATATACCAGTTACATTTAAAAGTAACAGTTTAAATCTTTGCTGAATGTTAAGATTTTCTGTAATTTGAATGTTCAATTTTATAAGAAAATCTTCATTTTGAATTCTTTAGTCTTTTAACGCTATATCTGAAATAGAAAACTCATGCACTGTTTGCTCCTAAAGATAAAGAAGGGAGATATATGAAATATATATGAGAAGCTATGGAATTAATTTTCTCCAAAGACACTATAATAATTGATTTGATCTTTCCTACCCTAAATAATAGTATATAGCAGTGAATAAAACTGAAGAGGCTGCATTGAAATGTAATTTCCATAATGTTTTCCTCTTCACATAAAGCTTTTATGATTAATGAGTGCAACTAGCTTCCATGTTTGGAAAGATTTCCATTCTCTACTGAATAAATTATCAGGGCACAGCTTCATAGCTTCTCAATCTGCATTGAGAAGTGGTTCACCACTAGGCATTACATAGAATACTTAATACAGAACTTTAGGAAAAAGCTTCAAAAACTCTCTTCCTTTAATTCGCTGGTTACTGAGATCCTGGGCATTAGAGATATGGATAGTATCTTTGAACTGTTAGAAATGTTCTGTAATTACTCTCAGACAACAGTAAAATAGTTTACCTCCATATTTCCCTGAACAGTGATGCACCCATACAGACACAGTATGTTAAATCACCAACTTAAAGGTTCTGCTTCCTATTTTATTGATGCCATCAATTTAGGAAGCTGCTATTCCAACCCACCTTTAGAAGAATCCTGAAAGCAGGGGTTGGCAAGTGCACCAAGTGAAGTTACTCGCTTTCAGTGCTGGTGCTTTTATAGCAATAGTAATTATAAAACTAGGTTTTCAAGGATGAGTATTAATCAAAATTGTATTACAACCTACATTTTGAGTTTATATTGGGTAACTGCAGTGCAATGAGGAACCGATGATTGCTGAAGTCTGTATGAATGCAGGATTCTGAATTAGCACAGTCAGTAAAAACACATTACATAATGCTTACCCATTTTCAAAAATACTCTCCAGTCCTATTATCTGTTCTAGACCATATAATTTTTCACTTCTATAGGAACTTAATTGATTTACATTTTTTATTACTTTGTTTTTTAATATTTTCATTTACCTCAAGAAGCTTTCTGATACAAAATTAAGTCTTAAACCTTTGCTCATGGGAATATTCATCCAAACTCACACGTATGGCCTAATACAAAATACTAAATACAGAACTCATCATCATATTCCTACTGTTTAAAAATTCTACTTGATAAATTCAGAAAGAAGATTATGCAATATGCAAACACCGAAGCAGACCTGAGGAGGAAGGCAGGTCGTTTCTGTCCTCCTACTTTTTATGTCAAAAGAACGTTGAAGAACTGGGATCCTTTACCTTACAGGGAGGATGAATGATAAAAGTATATTCAGCATTATAAGTATAGAGAACAAAGACTGTATGTGAAACAAAGTGGTAATGCCTGTTTTCCTTTTCCTTCTTGACTAAAGAGACCTAATTTCACAGTCAGGACCAACAATCTTATAAGATGACCCATCTGAGTGATCTCCACAGCTGTAATAAATTACTTTATTTATTACAGGGCTCAGCTTTTACATGATACAAGATTGGCCCCCGCTTTTGCCTAAAAAGACAAGACTAGTCTTTTTAATAAAGCCTTGATTTTAATAAGGCCTTTCAAAGTGTATGGTATTGGGGCAAAATCATCATTTATCCTTTGCTACATCAGTGTACAATTAGAGGAGATGAAACATTCTTTACTTGAAGCAAAAGGAAAATGGTTTTAAATTATTTTGAAGTAGCTCATAATGGCGGTTTCTGTATTTGACTGCTGTAAAGAAATCAAGTGTCTTCAGGCTAGGCCCAGTCCGAGAGGCCGCATTCAAGCCTAAGTGGAATGATAAAGCACAACTTAAACATGCAATCTAGACGGAAGAGGCGAGACCCTGCCCGGCCCAGGTGGTAACTGCTATCTCCATCTCTTTTGTGCCTGCTGCTGCAGTCGACGGGCAGTGGCAGGAGTGGAGCTCGTGGAGCCAGTGCTCGGTGACCTGCTCCAACGGCACCCAGCAGCGGAGCCGGCAGTGCACGGCGGCGGCCCACGGCGGCTCCGAGTGCAGAGGGCCCTGGGCCGAGAGCCGGGAGTGCTATAACCCCGAGTGCACCGGTGAGTACCCAGAGGCGCGGGGAGCCGCAGCTCTTCCCCTCCTGCTCCGGAGACACTCAGGGGCCTGTCTGGCCAGTAGCTCCAAGCTGGGAAGTGGGGGTACACCAGCAGGCTCCCCGCAGGCCTCAGTGGGCTTCAGAGGGGCCGAGCAGCTGCCTGCAGAGGGGATGAATACATCCAGAAAGACTACATGATAGGCTGGGCTGCATATGAGCTTTTTTGTTTTGTCACCATTTAAAGGGCGTTCGACAGTTTTAGAAAGATATGTTTGAGCACTAAAAAACTTGGTATTTGCAAACATAGAAAGTGAATGTGTATGAACCGATTCCCTTTTGAACTGAGACTACTTTATGATCCACTGGCAGTATAAAAGCAGCCTTCCAGGGTGGATAAATTATGTTTATACCTACTTTTAAGCCTCATTTTCACTGTCAGAGCATGTAAAACTCAAGCTCCTAAAATACCACATGCAAAAATGTTTTCATTTAGTTTTTTAAAGCGTACTTATGTACATTGTAAATGTGTATCATTACCATACAACAGCACTATACAAGTGTATTAAAAAAAATACAAAAGGGACAATGTCTGTTTTGCAGTCTAAGTGAAAGTTAATGTGCACTAATTCTTTTTATTTTATCTTGAGATGCAAGTCATTTAGACAACAATCCCGTACTTAGGAGCCAAGTAGAGACTTCCCCATCTTCCCTGGACTTACATATACCTCTTCTGTCACTGGGGGGCTTTCTTCTCTTACTCAAGTAAAGAATAATCTATCTATCCTCTTTTATGACTGCCATTATGTCACAACTGTAATTGTATTTTTCCAAACAGCAAATGGCCAGTGGAATCAGTGGGGCCACTGGAGTGGCTGTTCCAAATCCTGTGATGGTGGCTGGGAGAGGCGGATAAGGATCTGTCAAGGTGCTGCCGTGACTGGGCAGCAGTGTGAAGGAACCGGAGAAGAAGTTAGACGGTGCAGTGAACAGAGGTGTCCTGGTGAGATGCAAATATTATCACTGTTATTATCTACACTACAGTATGGCTTACTTTAATGGTCATCTTTAGGAGAGACGAGGTCAATGTCCATAGAGCAATAGCTATAAAGAGTCATATCTGGCCTTGCTTTAGGCAAGTCACTGATGTTTTTGTCAGTAGAGTTGTGTTTATGTTAGGTGTAAACTAGCCCTATGGGACATATGAGCAGTGCATCATGTTTTAAATAGATCAAAATACCATAGTAAAGAAAGTTATCAGGAAAATATTTCACTGCTTAGGTATGCCTATATTGTTTGGAGCAGCGATGATTTGCTACAGAAATTATCTTTGAATGAACTGTTTCTCAGAATATCAGGGCTGGTTTTGAAAATCATGGAATTCCTTTTATCCAGTGTAGAAGAGATGTCTTTGTAATACATTTGAGTTAAATTCCAGTGCAGTAGAGATAAAGGAAAAAGTGAACCTTGCTGTAATGTATAAAATGAATGAATACATGAGCAACATTTTATACGAAAGTAATTTAATTGAAAAAGGCACGTCTTTCCTGTTTTAATATAATTTTTAAATATATTTCTTTGCAGCACTTTTTACTGCGCCATCCCCATAGATTTAAGTCTTTCCCACTGAAAACTAATAAAAGTGTAGTTTTGAGCTTCTTCAGAAAGAATTGATGAATAAACAAGAATAGCTGGTGAATATGATTGTTTATCTGTAAAGACACATTGTCCTAAAATACAAGAATACCTTGTTGGATAGACACATTGTCCTAAAATACAAGAATACCTTGTAAGATAAAAAAAATAAGGTGCAAGTAGTGCAGGATGTCTGAGCTGTTCACTTGGGAAATTATGTGTTCTGAACTGCAAGCCAGGAAGCAGCAAAAATCAATCTAGCAATCTCTTTGACTTCTGGACATTTCAATGGCTATATTCTCTGGCAGCCAGAGAAAGGACTTAAATGGCAGGGATGCTTTGGGTCAGGAAATTAGAAATATATGAGATGTGAATTTTATGTTATTAAGCCCACATTTTCATAGGCAGCATGTTTATCCCTTGACAGCCATCAAAGAACAGTTTTCAAGGTATTTGCAGTGAAGTAGAACAATGAATCTCATTGCATTCAAAGAACAACAAAGGGACTATTTATAGTGATAAAGTTATAATGCTATACTGAAGAAGTTAACCAAATTTAACTTACTTCTCAAATGATGTCTTTAATTTTAATATAGCATTCATTATTTGAAAAGCAGTACAAAACAGTATTTGTATTAGTTTCCTAAGCAATTTATAATTTCCATAATTAGTACAGACTTCCTCTATAAAAGCACAGCACTAGTTTAGTGTGAATCTTTTCAATAAACAGATGTTCAGATCAACCAGCTTCTGTTTATAAAACCATTTGTGAAATATTTTCATTTGTATATTTAAAAGTAAAACCATGCTGCTGCAGTCCAATTTCAAAGGTTGCCACCTGCTGTTAATACAATTTTTTACAGATGTGTTTGCAAGTCAAATGCACACAGAGCTTTATTTGCCGTTTAGTAAACTTATTTATTTACTTGATTAATTACAGATTAGAATGAGTATGCTTATAGAGGCCATAATCTAAAGCACCTTTTAACAAGCTATCCTTGTACAGAAGATTATACATTAATAACAGTTTTAATTTTTCTGTTTTTAGAGTGAGATTTACTAAAGCATCTCAGATTTAAATGTAGACAGTGGATAATTTACCATCATTTTATGAAATGATATACTGATTTACATTTTATAAACATCAGGGAAAATTGAAAGGTATTATACAGAGATGATTGTTCAAAGTATAAGCAAATTTCACGATTTGTATGCTTTTCTTCCATTGACCTCAAATAGTTCAGAAAAGCTATTTTTGTCTCAGCAGTTTCTTTTTCTATGTAAGTCATTGAGAAACATGAGAGACTAAAATGTTATTTTTTTCTTATATTAGCACTGCTATTTGATTAGCGTAAAACCAGATCCTCAGCTCTGTATATCTGCATAATATATTTGTAACATGGATGAAGCTGCACCTGTTTGTATCACCCAGAGGTCTATAGACTTACAGACAGTCAAATTATAGCTGACTCTAAACTGTGGAAGAAAAAGGAGAATAAAACCTTTTTCTATGATCCTGGCCACTGTTAATAAGATACTTTGGAAAGAGAGTTGTTTACTTGACTGACTAAAAATCTTGACTGGACATTTTGTAGTTTGAATTTTGCATTGTCTGAACGTTGCACATGATGTTCTCCATAGTTGATCAGTGATTCTCTTCAAATAGTTCAGGCAGGGACTGAATTACATCAGACACTCCTAGAAGCTGAATAAAAGTAGTACTAAGAAAGGCAGCCTCAGAACTGTTATCTGAAAGTTGGTTTCTCAGACAGCTTGTTTCCTGGACAAATGTTGAGTATCTTTGTGATTTATTTCTATTCACAGTTATAAATTTTAAAACTGTGGTTGTTTCCTTCCATTGTATAATATTCTGAGAATGAAAAACAGATCTGAAGATCTTTTGTCTTCAGTCATTGCTTTTTTGTTGTATCCCAAATGTCTAAAGTTAGATTTCACTCCTAGTAGGTCAGCAGTGTTAAGGATTTAATACTCTCTGCTCAAAGTATCCTTTTGTGAAGGATAACTTCAGAAAATTGTAAAGAAATCACAGAAAGGAAAAAGCCTTCTGGATTTGCTAAGCAGCTAGTTGTGCAGGAATCACTGTGGAAAACTTGCACAGGATGAACTAGCAATAGGTCTGTCCCATAGGAATGAAGGAGACAGCTAGGTAATGAAAGAAATTGCAACCCATGACTGATAAGGAGTTACATGGCAAGCTGACCAGAAACTTTTAGAGAAGTGTGTAAGAAAAATAAGGTAAGTCCCGTCAAATGTGTCAGTAAAAACTAGGAGATGTGAGAACCGAGAGCGAAGTACAGTATTTTTTCAGGAGAGAAGACTTCTGTAAATTTATTTTTATAAAAATAAGACCATGTTTTTGTGACAGTTTTAAGAATATATTAGGTTCCAATAATACAGTGTAGGTTTCTAGAAATACTTAATTTCATAATAGTTAATTCTATAATAATTCAATATGTTATGCTTTACCCAGATTTAACTCAAAACAGATCCTCAATGTTTTTCTTGTAAACCTATTGTCAGTGGTACAAAACACAATATAGGAATTGTTTTTGACCAAAATATTACTGAAAACAATGATAGACTACCTTGTTTGTTAACAAAAAGATAACAGTGTACAACTGCTGCTGAAGACTAGCTAACAATTTCCTACTGAACATTGCCTTTTCAGAGGCAATACTAGCTACATAAATAGAATATGAGAAAAGGGAAGATTCAAATGGTTGTAAACAACTAAGTAATAAAATTAAACCTTTAGGTTTTGTTTTGTCTCTGATTACAATACGATTCTACAAGACGTTCAAAAGCTTTTTTCTGTTGCCTTTGTTTAAGATAATTTTGCCTGTGGCATTGAAACAGGACTCGAGAGGAACTGCAGTTCTAGCTTCATTTGTGAGCTACTGTGTGCTGTTGGCTGACTTTCTTCACCTTTTCATGACCCTTTCCCATATTTGTTAGCTGCCTAGGTAAATCGTGAACTCTGTGAGGTTGTGCATGTCTCTTGCTTTGTCTGTGTGTTGTACAGAGGTTTCCTCAGATCCCAGGTGGGTTGACTGCCTCTCACCAGTAATGTCAGAGGAGGGCTGTGCTTCTAGACCACTGGCTTTGTTGAGTGTGCTTAGGTGGGATGAATTCAGGCCTATCATTACAGAGGTATAATGTGGTTAATGTGAGTACATGCTCTGTGTGGGAAGATACTGCTGAATCACATCGTTAGTGAAAGAGAGATCTGCTTTTTATTTGACAATTTTAGCAAATTTACCTCAGTATTTGCTGTTTGCTTCTAAATTTTCGCAATTCTCTGTGGTTTTTTTTTCAGTTAACTCACATTTATCTGTGGGTGTGTTATGAATTAATTGCGCCATAGTTACAGAAATACTTGAACTGGTCCTGAGCAGTGCCAGGAGGGCCAATGAGGCTTTTTAACTCAGATATAATACCACTCCAGTGTGACTGTAATTTCTCCATGGGCAACATGGGTTGGAGCCTCACAGATGCTTTAATGTGGGTGGATGCCTGATTAGCAAGCTCTGCGAGATATACTTTAGCTTTGGGAAGAACTGGTTTGGTTTTTATGCACAGCATTCCTTGATCCAAGGTATTTGTACGATACATTGAAAGGTACAGAGTCAGCCAGGGACCAGAAAAACTTCTTTGTGTGGGCTAAGTAACACCTCTTCCAAACTTTGACTTACTCCCGCACCTCTTTCCTGATAACTCTGGATCTTGTGAATGCCTCTTACGTTGAACAGAACACACAGGTGCACAGATTATCTCTGGCACTAGGCTGAAGTTAAAACGTAATCTTGAGTTTTGAAAAGTGTAATGCAAAAGCACACAAGTAGTACCCTACCAAATACATGAGAAATCTGTCATATTACCTGTGAATTGCTAACATAAAAGAGAAAATATGGTGTATAGAAGTATCCATATATATGTATGTGTATATTTTTTCAGGAAAAAACCCACATTTAATATTCAGTATTTGGAGGGAAGTAAAAGTTTTAGTTCTGAGAATCAACACCTGAAGTGTTGATTAGTGAACACAACACATATGAAATGGCTACAGCTTCATTACAAGTATACTTCTCAAAGAACTCTAAGCTTTAGCAAATTTATGTAATTTACAATATTACCTCCTTATGATGTTAATTTACACTCCCCAAATCAGAACATTTCTTTTGCTTATAAGGTCATAATAGGATAGTAATTGCATTAGTTTATGTCACCAAATGATTTATGTTTATCAAAATGTGGCTTTTCCCATTGTAATGCTGGCCTGGTGCATTCACTTACTGGGCATGTTTGAAGCAGTATTAGTATTCTAGATTATAAATACAACCAGCTTTCTTTGGGTTTTGCCATGATTGGATCTCTTGCTTTTTTAGCAGCACCAACTGTCTTGATTTATGATTCAGGAATGCTGATGGTGAGGCAAATTTAGCAAGCAATTTTTCTACCCATTTGTGATTCATATTAGTATTACTGACCCATCTGCAAGGTATTCTTTGTCCTCCACAAAGAGAAGGTACAGCTTTGTGCAAAAGTCTGCTTAGTTCCTTTACTCACCTCACTCTCCTGTCAGCTGAAATGCAAAACAGAGAAATGGACGGTTTTTTAGGTTAAGTAATGGGATGGGCAAAATCTGTAGTCTGTTCCTGCCTCTGCTAGAGATCTCCCATGCAACCATGGGTGAATCATTGAATTGTTTTCTGCCTTATCACCCCAGCTGCTATGGTGACAGAATTTCCTTTCTCTTTTCCTTTTTCTTGTTTTGTAACCGATTTGCTATAATACAGTGGGGTTACAATTTTCCTGAAATACATATAATATACTTTTAAACAACTCATGGCTTTTCTGTGCTGAACTTCAAATTAAATAGATTTCAGTAATTAGCATTTGTCAGTGCTTTAAGTTGTGAGATTACTTCAGTCAGGTGTTTGCTGTGTTAATCTAATTTACTCAAAAATCATAAACTGGGAATCTACAGTAAAAATACAGAGAGAGGAATCTGTAAGTCATGGCCACGTGAAAATATAACACAAAGCTTTTGCAGAAGATTCTTTTTCCCCATGCAGTTCTGTTACTACGAAATTGCAAAAATATTTTTTCCCTTTAAATGATATCGCAATAACCAGTAAAAGGTCATGTTGTTTTATAGCTACTCAGTTCCCACATTATTGACTATACTTGCTTAATTACCAACTTGTGCTGAAACACATTTCAAAAAAATAACATGTTTTTTGGTCTTCAGGATATGCAACTCTCATTTGATACTTTTAGCACATTTAATGCTTCAAATATGGTTTCAGAATTGATTCTTTCATATACAGTTTAAGCTTTAGAAAAATCTTAAAAAATTTTAGTGTAAGATAAACATCACAGCTTATAACATTTTAAGTATTATAATCTTCTGATATATGCTTAATGTTATTGATCAAAATAGAGCAGCAAGAAAAGATTCAAACCTATTAACATTGCAGCTACAACCTAAAGAATGTTTGTTTGCTGAAGAGAATAAAGGCACAGATTATGTGAAATAAATAACATCACAAAGACAGGTATTATAGATGATATTAACATACACATCTCAGGAAAAATTAGGACAAGATTGAAGACTTACTTTTCTGATATAAAATACCTGTTTTATGTTAATGTTTCTATTTAAATTCTCATTCTAAATGTCAGCACCTTATGAAATATGTCCTGAAGACTATTTGATGTCAATGGTGTGGAAAAGGACCCCAGCTGGGGACATGGCATTCAATCGATGTCCTCTCAATGCCACAGGTACAGTATTACTTTGAAATTATACGATGATAAAAAAGGGGAGAAATCTTCTGCATTCTATTCTAGGCATAATCATTACTAGACTCGTATACATGTGTATATGTGCATATACGTGATTATATTGATATAAACCACACATACTTACATATGCATATAATATATACATATAGTATATACATGCTCATATACTCTGTCTCTTATAGCTTACACATATGCATGGGTCTGTGGTGTTCTTTCCTGAGAAGAAATCAATTTGACAGGACCTATCAGTCAAAGTGATGAAAGTGAAGCAAAACATAAAAATCCTTTTAATTAAGAAAACGTTGTGAAAAACCCACCAAGTGAACATTGAAATGTGTTTCAGAATCTTATACTACTCTCTATATACTGATGATCGTTGCATGAAATTGTTTCTGTGTGTTCTTTTAAAATAGCATGGAATGTAGTTTAAATGAGGTTCATTCTTTCCAGTTGCTCTCACATATGTAAATAATGTCTGTCTTCTTTGTGACTTACAGGCACCACTAGCAGACGCTGCTCTCTCAGTGTTCATGGAGTGGCCTTCTGGGAACATCCAAGTTTTGCTAGATGCATATCAAATGAGTACAGACACTTGCAGCATTCAGTAGGTGCAAATCCAGCTTTAGTACTTGCTCTGTTTATTCATTACTAATCATTGGTGTGAAAAAAAACCCTTATTTACACTCAAGTCAGATTTCTGGTAAGAAATGCCAGGAGGATAATAGACCTAAGAAAGAATAATTTATACTAATATATATTATTCTGATCTTGTATATTGCTGGTGTTCAAGTGAAAGAAGCTTTGTCTTTCTGTAGAACCAGAAAAATTAATCAGATTCCCTTTTTTCATGTCCACTGTGTGAAATTTTTATAGGGGTCAGGGGTAAGACGTATTTTGGTTTATTAGAAAATGAGATGTGAAAAAATGAGATTTACTGGAAGAGTGACCCACTGAGTAATTTTATCATATGTTTAATTCTTTAATTGCACACTAGGAAGTCAGAAATGATACTTCTTTTTGCTATTAGATTTAGAATTTAGAATCACCTTCAAATGTAACTATAGGAAATTATTATATAGTAAAACTATTGCAGTGTCTTGGAAAAGGTAAAGTAACTCCACATGAAGAAGTATTATGGGTTTTTTTTCAGTATGCTTAACAAAAAATTTATTTGCAAAGCATATGCATTATACATTTATCTACTGCCTAAGTATATTTATATGCATAGATGTAATACAGTGTATATATTGCATTATAAATATACTACCATAGTATATGCTATGTATATTGATTGCATTCTATTTCCATAGCTGAAGCATTCAGTCAGGTTAATACTACTGTGGGACGAGTTCCTTTGAAGATTCTCTTGGACAATGGTTTTTGCCTTCATGATATATTTTACTGACGTTCTTATTGCTCTGCCTCCTTTTCCAAAGGCCACTGCTCCATTAATCATTCAGCAGAGGCGCACTAATACAGATGTGTACTTCATAACTTCCCAACCTTTCAACCAAGTGCAACATTTGTGTAGCAGGTTTTAAAAATCTTTGGTGGCTTGAAAAGCAGTAGCCTGGTTGTCATTCCTCAAATCTGGCTTGCCACTTAGAGAAGACTTTGATTAATTCCTTTGAGCTGCATTTCTGTTTCATTAGATTCCAAGTTTATTGAGGCCTGGGATTCAGTTTCAGAGTAAGCCAAACCAAAAATTATTTTTAAAATAACACAGAATAAAGTGTCAAAGCAATTTTTCCAACTACAGTGAAACCTTTTTATTTTATATAGCTCTTTGCATGTTACTGTATCCCTTTAGCGTTCCCACTAGAAAAAAAAAAAAAAAAACAGTTGGCTGTAACTGTTTTGCATTTTATATTTTTGATATTTTATTCTTTTGCAACAGCTGTATATAGTATGTTTAAACGTACTTTACGGGCATGGACAGCAATGCATTTGTATTTCATTTGCTTAGAATCTGTGTTTTGGTAAATAGCACAATAAAGGAAATTACTCTAGGCAATAGATATACAATTTTGAATACTGTCATTGAAGAAAAAAAATCACTTCGTGATTGAAAACTATGAGTTATTTCAAAGTAAAGCAAATTACTTGTCTTTTACTTGCTATATTACAATCTTCTGAAATTTTTAAAGTATTTTGAAATATTTTAAAGGCTTTATTCATCTTGACCTGACTAGAAGACCATCCCTTTAGAATTTTGTTCCTCTGCTCTTACCTTTTTATATTTCTTACCAACATTTATTCAGATAGTTGATCCTCATGCCACTGTTTCTTTAGTGATATTCAGCCTTTTCTTTTTATGTTATTGCTTGAAGTCATTCATAAGCAGCTCAAAAAGTGGGAAATGCTCTTCCATGTTATTCAGTGGTTTGACTTACCTGGCTAAATTTTGGTGAGGCACCAATATTTTTTGAAGAGCTGCAAGTCTGACTGGCAGGAAGGGGTCATTGTTGGACAAAAGAAGTCATTTGTAACCCAGATAAGATTTATCTATTCTTCTATATTTCATTTTTCAAAGTATTAAATAGCATTAGACCATGCTATAAAATAATATTTTGACAAAGAACATTTAAAAATAGCTAAAGCTTCTTTAAAATTATACAAGCATCTAAACATCATCCTATTGCTGCACAAAATTTCAATCTAGTTTATATGCATCCAAATTAAAGGAGAAAAGTGGTTTTCTTTTACACTTGGGAACTGTTCACAGAGAAAATTGGCTGTCTTAAATCTTACTGCTTCTCAAAGTGAACAACACAGCATATTTAAAGAATTGTAGAAAATAGAGGTAAAGACCTATAAGGTCATTGCCCTGCAAATGTAGGCTTGTCCCCCCCACGATACATATGTCAGCTCTATAAATCCTTGCAAATAGGGCTTTATAAAGAAGCTGCTGACAGACGGTGTTGCTGTAATAAATATGTGTGCTTATGAAAGCGTTTATGAGATGCCTTAGTGTGCTTACCAGTAATGTTATTTTACCAACTCAGACCAGGAGTAGTGGAGGATGTCACTCAGTTCTGTGAATGTTCCCATAAAATCTGAGTCTGAGCTGAATCCCTTTCATTTCTCACCTGAAATACATGAACCAGAAGTAGGTGTATAGACTTCAAAAATGATACTTCTAAAGTAGATACACATAATTTACATATAATACTTAATACATTAAAGCATGCCCATCTGGAGAAATACAGACAAGTCCCTGTCTCTTTTCCCTCCAAACAAGCCACATATGATCCAGAACCAGCCCAGAAGTCATGTAGTTGAATTCACATGGTGCTGTGCCCAAGTACATACTCTCCAAAGAAAAGCTTTTCATATGCTGAGAGCCAGAGAATACTGCCTTGGCCACAGACTCTACTAAGCTGCCTACACAAATTCTGTACTGGAAGCTTATAGTTATACTAGTAAATAAACGAAACAGGGTGACTGCCCAAGCTTAAACACTGTCCTTGCAGTCATCTACTCTGTTTAACTGTTTATCTGTTAGCATACTCCCTGCCATGATTTAAGGCCATACCAGTGAGCACTGTCCTGGACAATGCCTAGCATCCTTTAGAGGATAGCGTGGCAGAGAAACCATTCCTAGCAGACAATAAAACCATCATTTTCTAGGACAGAGGAGGGAAAGACAGTTTATCTTGAGGGACATAAGCTGTCTGTGCCTGTTGTCCTCAGGGCTAGACAATATTCCTGTGGCTATTTTATTTATCTGTATGGACTGTTTATACAGTAAAAACACCTTACATTTGGGCAGCTTGGACTAAGGGTAGAGAAGTTCAAGGCTGTATGTGTCCATCAGTGAGACCACACCTGGAGTTCTGTGTCCAATTCTGGGCTCCCCAGTACAAGAGGAATATTCTATTATTGGACCAAGTCCAGCAAAGGGCACTAAGATAATTAAGAGACTGGAGCATCTCTCCTATAAGGAAGGGCTGATAGAGCTTCAGCTGTTGAGCCTAGAGAGGAGAAGGCTAAGGAGGGATCTTATCAATGTGTATAAATACCTGAAGGGAGGGTGCAAAGAAGATGAAGCCAGGCTCTTTTCTGTGGTTCCCAGTGACAGGACAAGAGGCAATGGGCACAAACTGAAACACAGGAGGTCTTGTCTGAACATCAGGAAACACTTTTTCACTGTGAGGGTGTCTAAGCACTGACAGAGTTTGATCAAGGAGGTTGTGGAGTCTCCATCCCTGGAGACATTCAAAAGCCGTCTGGACATGTTCCTGGGCTACCTGTTCTAGGTGACCCTGTTTGAGCTGGGGAGTTGGTCCAGATGACCTCCAGAGGTCCCTTCCAACTTCAATCATTCCATGATTCTGTGATTCTGTAACTCACGTGAGTCCAGAAAAGTGGAAGCTCACACAAGGCAGAAATCCTGAAACGGTAATTTGTAGACTTCCACTCTAATATCAGTATGATTTTTACTTTCTTCCTAAAGGTAACCTGCAAACATTAACACAGGTTTTCATCAGATGTCCACTTAAAGCCAGAATTCTGTGCTATATATGGTGTAGAATTTTACCACATAACCACAGGTGATTGACCCCTGAAGACTGTTTCCTTACTGTATGTAGCTACAATAAGTTCACTGCCTCATGCAAAAAGCCTCTTGTATTTTTACAGTTTTATCTATTATTCATTTGAAAGTGACATGGGAAAAATTTCAACCCTTAATAATCAGTAACAGAAACCCAGCTACTGCTGTATGTTCTTCAGCTTGGCTCAGGACTTTTATGGAGACCAATATGCTAGCTATGTAAATCATGATAAAATGGTGCTATCTTTTCATTTCAAAATCCATTTGGAAGTCTGTTTGCTTCCAAAGGAACGGTGGAGAGTCAGTAGTTAAATATACACTCATAATGCTAAAGATAATATAATTTGCTCATAACCCCCAGCTTCATTAATTAGGTATTTTTCCAGCCACTTACAGAACATGCCAGGCAGAATTACTGCCTCTGCTTAGGGTAGGAATGGACTTGCGCTTCTGAGGCAAAGTACTGGCACCTCAGAAGAAAGCAGAGTTTTCCACTATTTAACTGGAATTGCCTAGATACATGGACCACTTTTTGATACATACATCAGTATTGTACTTAATACTCTATTGTAATAGTTTGAGAGTAATTCACAATCTTTAATTAATATATCACCTCAACATATGTTGGAGATCACACTCTACTACATCTCAATTTTTTGTTGATGGGGAACTGAGTGAGACCAATTAAGCAAGAAATTTGTCTCTGGTCTTCTGAATTAGTGCCTAGCCACTCTTCCTTCTTAATGTTCATACCTCTCCATATGACATCACAGAAAATCCCTGGCATGACAAAAATATAGTAACTACAGGGCCTCTGGAGAGACTATACACTGGAACATGATGAAGCGGTCAAGGGGAATGGTTTGGCTCGTGTAGTGGAGGTTGACTGTCAGTTTACATCTTTTGAGGGCACATTGCCCTACACAATTTATGTGTAGCAGCTTAAGTAAAAACAGTTAAGGAGATGATGCACTTCAGCTGTGCCACAAATGTGCAGCCTGTATTTTCATTAGTTTATTTTACCTTGTGCACTACGGAATACAGGTCCC